AGGCGTTCCTGAGCGGGCTGGACCCGGCGCAGGGCACGCCGCTGTCGCCGGCGGCGCACGCCCGCTGCGCGCTGCGGCTGCTGCGCTGCCTGCCGCCGGCGCGCCACGCGGCGCTGCAGCACCTGCGCGGGCTCTTCGACGAGCAGGTGTGCGCGCACCTGCTGCAGCGCGAGGCCGGCGCCGCCGCCGCCGCCTCGCCGGGCGCCGAGGCGCTGCAGGAGGCGCGGCGGGCGCTGGCCGAGCTGGTGGCGGCCAACCCGCGGGCCTGGGCGCCCGGCGTGGCGGCCTGGGCCAGCGAGCTGATGGGGCAGCTGAGCAGCAAGTACGCGGGCCGGCCCGGCGTGCCGCCCGCCGCCAGCCTCAACGAGCTGCTGCAGCTGTGGATGGCGTGCCCGGCCACGCGCGCGCTGCTGGACATCTACAGCCAGTGCCTGGCCGCCATGGCCGGCAGCTGCCCCGACGCCTGCGTGGACGCGCTGCTGGACACCTCGGTGCAGCACTCGCCGCACTTCGACTGGGTGGTGGCGCACGTGGGCTCCTCCTTCCCCGCCACCATCATCAGCCGCGTGCTGTCCTGCGGCCTCAAGGACTTCTGCGCCCACGGCGGCGGCGGCGGCGGCGGCGAGGCGGCGGCGCTCGGCGACAAGCGGGCGCCCAAGATGGCCTCGGTGGTGGGCATCCTGGGGCACCTGGCGTCGCGGCACGCCGGCAGCATCAAGCAGGAGCTGCTGCGGATGTTCCGCGAGAGCCTGGGCTCGGCGCGCGAGCACCACAAGGCCACGGTGCCGTTCCTGCTGCAGCTGGCGCTGCTGTCGCCGGCGCTGCTGGCCACGGTGTCGGCCGAGCTGGTGGACGCGCTGCAGCCGCCGGTGCTCAACCAGCTGCACCAGCACTTCTCGGCGCTGCCCCGCGACGAGCTGGAGGCCACGGCGGGCGTGGCGGTGCACCTGCTGTGCCACGCCTCGGCCGGCGCGCTGCGGACGCTGCGGTTCCTGCTGGCCACGGCCGCGCCGGCCTCGGTCATCGCCGCGCCGGGGCCGGCGCTGCGCGAGGGCGTGCGCGAGGCCTGCGAGCGCCTGCTGCAGCTGCTGCTGCTGCACCTGCAGAAGCTGGTGCACGGGCGCGGCGGTGCCGGGCCCGCCGAGGCCGCCGCCCGGCCGGTGCCGTTCCTGGAGGCGCTGCGGCCGCACGTGCGGGAGCTGTGCCAGGACGCGCTGCGGCTGGAGCGGCGGCGCGGGCTGTGGCAGCAGCAGCTGCTGGCGCTGCTGGCGGTGCACTCGGCTCCGCACGGCGCGGCCGAGGCGCTCTTCTTCCTGCTGGCGCTGGCTCGCACGCCCGAGGAGCTGGCGCTGGCGCCGCAGCTGCGCGCCGGGCTGCGCGCCGTGCTGCCCGACCCGCTGCCCGCCGCCGTGGCCGCCGCCGTGGCGCAGATCCACGCGGGCCGCCTGCCCGAGCCGCAGCTGGCGCAGCTGCTGCGCAACCTGGCGCTGCTGCTGCAGCCCCGCGAGCCCGAGGGCGAGCCGGGCGAGCCGGCGCTGGGCGCGGCGCTGGCGCGGCACCTGCCCGACCTGGCGCAGCTGCTGCTGCACCCGCGGCCCGAGGTGGCCGAGGCGGCGTGCCGGCTGCTGGCCGCCTGCCCGCTGCCGCGGGCGCTGCCGCCGGCGCACCTGCTGCCGGCCGTGCGCGCCGCCGTGCGCCGCTTCTTCGCCGGGCTGCGCCGGGGCGACGCGGCCGCGCCGGCGCCGGGCGCGCGGCTGCTGGCGCGGCTGAGCGCCGTGAGCCCCGCCGCCGCCAAGGCCGTGCTGGCGCAGCTGGTGGAGGCGGCGCTGGGCGGCCGCGACGCCGAGCTCTTCGGCGAGGCCGAGCCGGACGGGCGCGGCGAGGCCGCCGCCGCCGCCGCCCCGGGAGCCGCGCCGGCCTCGCTGCTGGACGACAACCGGCGCCTCGCGGGCGGCCCCAGCGCGGCGGGCGGCGTGTGGTCGGTGTTCCACGGCGGCGTGATCGGGCGCGGGCGCAGGGCGGCGGGCGGCGGCGCTCGGCGCGGCGCCGAGGAGCTGAGCCGCAACACGCAGGCTTTCCTCAGCCTGCTGCTGCGCTGCTGCCGCGGCGCCGCCGTGGGCGCCGAGGCCGCCAAGGCGGTGGCGGCGGCGCTGGTGGAGGCCGTGTGCCCCGAGGCGGCGNCTTCCTGCTGGCGCTGGCTCGCACGCCCGAGGAGCTGGCGCTGGCGCCGCAGCTGCGCGCCGGGCTGCGCGCCGTGCTGCCCGACCCGCTGCCCGCCGCCGTGGCCGCCGCCGTGGCGCAGATCCACGCGGGCCGCCTGCCCGAGCCGCAGCTGGCGCAGCTGCTGCGCAACCTGGCGCTGCTGCTGCAGCCCCGCGAGCCCGAGGGCGAGCCGGGCGAGCCGGCGCTGGGCGCGGCGCTGGCGCGGCACCTGCCCGACCTGGCGCAGCTGCTGCTGCACCCGCGGCCCGAGGTGGCCGAGGCGGCGTGCCGGCTGCTGGCCGCCTGCCCGCTGCCGCGGGCGCTGCCGCCGGCGCACCTGCTGCCGGCCGTGCGCGCCGCCGTGCGCCGCTTCTTCGCCGGGCTGCGCCGGGGCGACGCGGCCGCGCCGGCGCCGGGCGCGCGGCTGCTGGCGCGGCTGAGCGCCGTGAGCCCCGCCGCCGCCAAGGCCGTGCTGGCGCAGCTGGTGGAGGCGGCGCTGGGCGGCCGCGACGCCGAGCTCTTCGGCGAGGCCGAGCCGGACGGGCGCGGCGAGGCCGCCGCCGCCGCCGCCCCGGGAGCCGCGCCGGCCTCGCTGCTGGACGACAACCGGCGCCTCGCGGGCGGCCCCAGCGCGGCGGGCGGCGTGTGGTCGGTGTTCCACGGCGGCGTGATCGGGCGCGGGCGCAGGGCGGCGGGCGGCGGCGCTCGGCGCGGCGCCGAGGAGCTGAGCCGCAACACGCAGGCTTTCCTCAGCCTGCTGCTGCGCTGCTGCCGCGGCGCCGCCGTGGGCGCCGAGGCCGCCAAGGCGGTGGCGGCGGCGCTGGTGGAGGCCGTGTGCCCCGAGGCGGCGGGCGCCGAGCTGGCCTGGCCGCCCGAGGAGCTGGCCCGCGCCACGGTGGAGCGGGACCTGCGCATCCTGCGCCGCTTCCGCCGGCAGCCGCTGCTGTTCCCGCTGCTGCGGCTGGTGGCCGGCGGCCGGCCGGCGCTGTGCTACTGCTCCGTGCTGCTGCGGGGGCTGCTGGCCGGGCTGGTGGCGCACTGGGACGCGTGCCGCGCCGGCAGCACCGCCGCCTCGCCCTGGCACCTGCGGGCGTCCTGCGCGCTCGTGGCGCTGCTGGCCGAGGGCTCGCTGCTGCCGCCCGTGCTGGGCAACATGCACGAGCTGTTCCCCGAGCTGGCGCCCTTCGAGGTGCACCTGCTGCTGCTCAGCGTCTGGGGCTACCTGCGCGACAACAGCCCGCTGCCCCAGAAGTTCACCTTCCAGCCCCGCCTCGGCGCCTTCCGCCGCGACTTCGGCCGCGACGCCGACCTGGGCAAGCACCTGGCCGTGCTGCACAGCGTGCTGCACCGCAACATCCACCGCCTGGGCCGCATGGCCGCCCGCTTCTACCCCTGAGCGGGCCGCGGCGCCGGGGACGCTCCGGGAGGGGCTCCCGGGGCGGCTCCGGGGGGCGGCCGGCGCCGAGAGTTGGAGTTTGTAAAATAAAGGAAGTGCAAGGCAGAGAAGGGTCTGGAATTGGGGGGTGTCCAGAGGGGGTTGGAGGGTCTGGGGGTGTCCGCAGTGCGTCTGGGGCTGTTCAAAGAGGGTCTGGGGGGTTCTGGGGAGGGTCTGGGGGTGTCCACAGGGGGTTTTGGGGGTTTCAGGGGTGCGTTGGAGGATTTGGGGGTGTCCAGGAGGTCCTTTGGGGCATGCAAAGGGGGTTTTGGGGGTGTCCAAAGGGGGTTTTGGGGGTCCTTGGGGGGAGTTTTGGGAGGTCCGTGGGGGATTTTGGGAGGTCTCGAGGGTCCTGGTGGGGTCATGGGCGTTTTTGGGGGGTCCCGAGGGTCCCTGGGGGAGTTTAGGGGGGTCCCAGGGCTGTTTTAGGGGTCCTGGGGCTGTTTTGGGGGTCCCGGGGCTGGTTTGGGGGTCCCGGGGCGCTCCTGTTCCCCCGCCCTGTCAATCACCGCTCTGTCCCCTCCCACCGCCCCACACCAGCCAATCACCGCCCTTGCTCGGGCCGTAACCCCGCCCCTTCTCCGAGCACCACCTTCGGCTCGGTGGGCGTGGCCTCGCTCGTCCTCGGCCAATCAGCGCCGAGCGCGGCGGCGGCGGCGGGAACGCGTCACTTCCGGCGGCGGCGGCGGCGGCCCCGAGGATGTTTTACCACGTGAGCGGCACCGGGGGTCACGTGGGCGGCACCGGGGGTCACGTGTCAGGCCGGGGGGGTCCCGGTGTCCTCCCGGTGGTTCCCGGGGCGGTCCCGGTAACTTCCGGTAACTCCCGGTG